GAGCAGGGAAAGGAAAAGCCTCCTCAGAAGCTGGACAGGAAAACCTGAGCCAAGAGCTGGATTTCAAAGCTCTCCTGTTCAGCTGAAAGGAATGTCAGATAAAATGAGCATTCCTGGCTCTACTGGCTGTGGTGTCCAGGCTGAAGTGGCTGCAGGTGACAGGTGCTGGGGACCAGGGACAAGGCTCAGACTGCACCTGCCTGGGGGAGGAGAAATCCCCTCCAACATCTCCTCCTCCAGCACCTCACAGAGCTCAGACCACTACAGGGGCTGGATCAAGCTCCAAAAATCATCTTGAACAAGAAGAGGTTTATCCAAGCGAGGCTTTCCCAGTTATTTCCTTGCCTGACTCAACTTTTGAGTATCTCTATCTATTTTTCTGCTAACAAAACCCAGGTTATTTATATAAACCAACTTCTCTCTGCTGTGAAAGGTGATACTCCCCAGGAAATCCAGCACTGCTGCTCCCAGATCCCCTCCCAGCAACAACAGCCCCACTTCAAAGTCAGGGAATCAAAGCCCCGGTGAAGGCTCCGAAGGCGAGCGCCGCGTGCTGCTAAGAATATCCTCCAGGGATTGACTGTGGAGCTGTGACACATTTGGGAATCCAGGCACTGGAGAGATTGCTTCTCTCTTCCTTTGCTCCAAATCCAGCAATAAAGAGAAGACCACGCACAGCAGAGCGAGGTTGGGATGGCACAAGACAGTTCCAAGCACCCTCAAGGGCAACGGGCTGCTCCAAGTGATTTTTCCATGATTTTGCCCACCCCCAGCCCAAATCTTTGTGATCTTTCCAATTTCCACCCCATTTCTCTTCCAACTCCACCCACACCTTCCCTGGATTTGCCTCTCTTCACCTTGAGCAATTTGCCTTCCTTCCTTCCTCCTCCCACTTCACATCCCAACACAGCCAAACTCCTTCCCACCTCTGGGCAGGGCTCTCTGGAATTTTCACTTCCAGTGGCTCCACGGAGCCAGGGAGTTTTGGAGCTGGGCCCTGCAGGTTGGGAATGGCCTTTGAGGAGCTGCTCAGGCATGGAAATGTCTCTGCTGAAGTGTCACAGCTGAGCATCACTGAACACCTGGAAAAGAACTTTCCCAGAGGGATGCCACCCAGTGCAGGGGCTCAGCCCTTGGAAGGGGATGATGCTGCATCCCAAAATGCTGTCAGGGCTTTTGTTCCCTCTGGAATACCCAGAGGGGCTTTTGGAAACCCCTCAGCCTGTGCTTCCACCAACAGCCAAAGGGCAGAGGGAATCTCCTTGGGATGAGTGAGGAATGAACAGGGTATGAAATGTTGGGGATAAAACAGCTCCTTTTGGCCAACAGCCTGAAGTGAACTCCTGTGCCTGGGCTGGAGAGGAGAGCAACAGGAAAGGGATTTGATTCCCCCAATAGGTTATGATGTCGGGGCACAAAATTGTCACATTCTGGTTTGTCTGTGCTTTTCCCTCTTTTTGAGATTACAGAAAGGTTTGGGTGGGAAGGGATTTAAAGCTCATCTCAGTCCACCCCCCCTGCCATGGCAGGGACACCTTCCACTATCCCAGGCTGCTCCAAGCCCCGTCCAACCTGGCCTTGGACACTTCCAGGGATCCAGGGGCAGCCACAGCTTCTCTGGGCACCCTGTGCCAGGGCCTGCCCACCCTCACAGGGAACAATTCCTGCCCAATATCCCATCCATCCCTGCCCTCTGGCAGTGGAAGCCATTCCCTGTGTCCTGTCACTCCATCCCTTGTCCCAAATCCCTCTCCAGCTCTCCTGGAGCCCCTTTAGGCCCTGGCAGGGGCTCTGAGGTCCCGCTGAAGCCCTCTCTTGTCCAGGTGAGCTCTCCCAGCTCTCCCAGCCTGGCTCCGGAGCAGAGGAGCTCCAGCCCTCGCAGCATTTCCGCGCAATTCCCTCTCCCGGGGCTCCAGGGCAGCACCGGGGGCAGGGCTGGAAGCCCCAGTCCCGCTACTCACCCCTACCGCTGCACCTACAGACACATAATACATAAATATAAACGCATACACACAGACGGATATATATATATATATATGTACAAATAAATATCTGGGGCAATGCAGCCCAGGGCAGGACGAGGGCGGCCCCGCCGGCTGAGGGTGTGGCTCAGGCAGGGGGCAGAGGACGGGGACAAGGAAAGAGGAAGAGGAACGGGGATGAGAAGGGGAAGGACAAGGGCACGGGAAGGGGCCGGGACTCACCGGGGCCGCTCCGGCGCCGCCGCCGCCTCCTCCTCCTGCCCCCTTCGCCTCCTCCCGCCGCTTCCGGTCGCGCGCCGGTGACGCCACTTCCGGCTCCCAGCGCGCGCGGCCGGCGGGTGGCGCCAGTGGCGCGCGGCGCGGCCCCCCCCGGCATGGCCACGTGACTCGAGATCACGTGGCACACCCACGTCACGTGGGCGCCGCCATGGCGGTCCCGGGGCTGCTCCTGGAGCGTCGTGGCCGCCCCGCAGCACCCGGGCCCTGGGACCCGCCCGAGAAGCTGTGGCTGCCCCTGGATCCCTGGCAGTGTTCCAGGACAGGTTGGACGGGGCTTGGAGCCACCTGGGATAGTGGAAGGTGTCCCTGTCCATGGCAGGAGGATGGGCTCGATGCTCTTTGAGGTCCCTTCCAACCAAAGCTTTCTGTGGCTCTGTGGGTCTGTGCTTACAGGACGCCTTTACTGGCTGCAGAATCCCGCAGGGTACCTGCACACCCAGGGATCTCTGTTATAGATACATTTTATACTGTTGGATTTTCACAAATATTAAAATGAATGTTATGTGTATAAGAATGAGAAATTTTGTTGTATTAATATAGTTTTCTTTATTTCTGTTATTGATGAAATTTAGAAATAGTAGTATAATACGTATATGTTAGGCTATGGCATAGTATTAAAATAAAAACTGCTTTTGTTTGTAGAACCCAAAGACTGAGGAAAAAAAAATAGCTAGAGAACTCCTGCATTTGTAAACTGTCTTATCCAGATGAAGACAGCAGTGACCAGAACTCTTGGGGAGGAATTTATTGCATTTCTGGTATCAGAGAATGTAAATCTTGATGGCACCAAGAAGATTGATCTATTGGGAAGGGGGCAAGAGAAAACTAAACAGAAGAACACCAAAGATCCTAAGAAGAATGTATGAATATGTAAGAGAATTCATGGATATGTAGTAGAGTTCTGTTTTTAAGGGACAATCCTTTGTCAGTAAGGTGTGCTCTCTTAGCTGAATGCAGAGACACCCGGCCGTATCTGTATACTTTACTTATTTTTTTTCTCCTCATTGTTTTTTTACTAAACTTTTAAATTCTATAAAAATTATGTGAACCTCGTTTTTCACAATGTCCTTTTTGTGTCCCCAGGGAGGCACCAGCCCCCTGGAATGTGTGGGCTGGGGTGTGTGGGAGGCTCGTGTCTGAGCTGACACCCGTCGCTGTCCCAAGGGAACGGGGGGATTTAGGTGACTCTGGCCCCGTGGAGGCCTGGCCTGAGCTCCTGCTGCAGCAGGGCCACCCACAGCCCGTTGGCCAGGGCTGTGTCCGCACACATTTTGAGTATTTCCCATAATCACGGCTCCACTGTTCCCAGGAATCTTTCTCCTGCCCACTGCAGGCTGTCAGCACTGGCAAACTATTTAATACCGCCTTGAGCCTTACTTAGCACTTGTGTCCCTTCCTGATATTTCTACCAGGTTTATTTTCTGTCTTCCTTTTCCAGGTTTTTATCCTCTGGCAAGTGAGGAAATCCCATTTTCAGAAGGCCACAGGGGTTTGGAGGGAGAGCCACGCTGGCTGATGGCACCTCAGGCTTTAAACCTGAGGGAGCCCATGGAATCCCCGACTCACTTTGCCCTGGGAGGCACCAGCTTTGTCACCAGAGGGCAGGAGACCTCTCTAATAAAGCTGCCATCGGGAAAAGTGCTGGAATTGCTGGGTTTTTAAAGAAAAACAACGTTTATCTGTTGCTTTTAGTGACGCTGACAGAGTTGGGTGGGGTTCGTTGGAGTAAAAACTTGCAGGAGGTTTTGGATGTGGTGTTTCCTTCCTGGTTACGAGGGAGGGTGGATGGACCTCGGGCTGCATCCAAATCCTCACCCCAAACGTTTGGGATCCAGCACAAATTTGATGCATTTTGAGTGTTTTGCACTCCTTCAGCCAAGTGAAGGGCTCGTGCTGGGGAAACCAGGGAACCCCAGAGATGCTCCAGTGGGGGGATGTGGCTTTTCCAAGCTGAGAGTTTGGCACAGGAGGGAAGGGGAATTGCCATCCCACCACTGCAGCTGCATTGGAGCATGCTGATACACCCAGAGTGAAGCTTTCCCCCCAGTTCCCCACCTCAGCCTTGGATCCATCCCCCAAATCCCCCTGGTTCTCCCCCCTTCTCCCACCTGTGACACAAACAAACCACACAGTCCTGTTTTTAAAACGGGGCCTTTCTCCATTTTATTTTGCCCAATAAAAATCCTTCACAGTCAGGTCGAGAGAGGAGAGTTGGAGATACGTATACATATAGATCTGCATGTCTATTTATATATATACATACCTCTGTACAGATATATTTATATATTCACCGTAGAAAATGGCAAAGGCAGTAGCTCTTCACATCTGGAGAACCCAATGGGAACAGACAACAGACCAGCAGGGAACTGGGAAGTGTGGTGGAGTTTTGACAAGAACCTCTGAAACAGATACACCTTGGCTGTACAAAAATCCCAGCGTGTTTACCTATTTTTATTTTTATTTTTTCTTTTTTTTTTGTCAACCTCTTGTCTTTAAACACACTTAACCAGAGGCAGAGTCGAGACAATGGCGTTTGGAAGTGATCAAGTGGACAGGAGAGACACCCGACTTTATGGAGTTATTTTTTAAATATTTTTGTTATTTTTTTTAAGTATATATATATTTTTATATATATATATATAATTTTTTAATTTTTTTTTTAGATTTTTTTTTGTTTTTTACATTATATATTTTTTTTAGATTTTTTTTTTATTTTTTATTTTTTTGCAAAGTCTCAGCAACAGTCGACGCAGAAACAGAACAGTAACGGAGTCGAGTTCAGAACACTTCTGGTTTGAATTCACAGTCAGAGGAGAGAGAGAAAGAGAGAAAGAGAGACACCGAGGCGTCAGGAAACGAGAGGGAAGAAAGCACAAGGCTGGGATTGAATTTACACTCGGGGATGGGACGAGGGGTCTCACGCAGGAGGTCCTGCAGAGGGGCACGGCCCGGCGCCAGCGGAGCTCCCGTTATTGCTGGTGAAGTCGGACAGCAGCCTTGCCCCACCTGCCCTCCTCCCCGTGGGGAGCTGGGCTTTGGGGGGACGGCCATGGATCTGCTGCAGAACGGACGACTCGGCGACGTGCGTGGGTTTGGGGCGAGGAAAACCTCCCCAGCGTGGTGCCCGGAGCGAGGCAAAGGCCAGCGCGGCTCCTCTGGGCTCACAGCGATTACCGGGTCCCGGAGAGTGCAAACGAAGACACCTTGGAGGAGCCCCGGGCTGGGCTCTGCGGGGACACGGCTGCCTGGGAAGGGACTGCATAGACACATCAGCCGGGTGTGCAGCATTGGGTGGTGCTGGGACGCTCCTGCGCCGCTGCCGGAGCTCTGCCCGCACCCGTTCCGCTCCTTTCGGTCACGGGAAAGGGGTGAAGGGGCCTTCTCCTCCGAGCCTGGCTCTCAGGAATGGCAGAGCACGGTGTCCCCACTGGCTGTCACAACGTGACTCGGTGAGCTCAGACACCCCAGTGGCTCCCCCATGGAGAAGACCCACTGCAGGGACCCTGTCTCAGCCGTGGATGGACACCAGGAGGGGATGGGTCACACCTCATGTGTGTCCAGGCTGGTGGCCTGCTGGATGCGGCAAGCTTTGGGCTCTCCAGATAAATGGGGCCACCAAGCTCAGACCACTGTGGTTATTTAGAGCCATTCTGGACCTTGCATCCCTTTCCAAAGGAGTTGAGGCCAGGGCTGGAGCTATGAAGGTGTTCACAGGAATGTTGGCTTGCCTGCAGGTGTCAGAGTTGGGAAGAGTCCCTTTTAAATCTCCCTGGAAAAACCTATTGCTTTGGGACAGAAAGCAAAGACTTCCTGCCGGAGAAAACAGATTTGTGAAAGAGCTGTGGAGACACAGCCTGGTCCCAGGTTCCAGACCTGACACGATCCCCGTCACTGGGAGAACCAGGGATGAGGATTATCCTGAAAACACAGGAGCTTGGTGCTGATGGCAGATGCACTGCAAGCATGGAACGTTCCATTGGGAAGCCAACATCTGCAAACAGCAGATGTGATGTGATCCCAGCCCCTTGATACACTGCAGGGTCCTGCAGGCCCCTGAGGACCTCTCAGAGCCCTCAGACCCCTGTTTTTAACAGAGGGTGGAAGCACCAGGGAGCTCCAGAGCTGGGTGGTGATGGTGTGAATCCCTGTGCAATGATCCCACAGGATTGCAGGCCGTGGGAATGTCCTTCAGCAGGAAGCCAGGTTGTCCTTGGAGGTAAAGCAGGGCTGATGGAGCTGCCATGGGAATGTCAGAGAGGAGAGGATCATTGTTCTGGAAAGTTCCTGAGAGCAGGGTTGGGATAACCCATTCTCAGTGGGGGCTGTAGCTCCAGCTTGTCCAGATGTACCTGGGAGAGGCACTGACTGCTCCAGTGGGATGATCTAAAAGGGGGCAGGAGAGCCTGGAGAGCTGGAGCAGAGGAGCAGCAGGGCACAGGCAACACATGAACAGATCTTTAGCAAGGGGTCTTGGTGAACAGTGACTTGTAAAGGGGTTTCAAGGTTTAAACTGAAGGTTTGGGTTAAATTAATGACGAGTTGGGCTCTCTCCCATCCCATGGAGTGGAGTGGAGAAGGCTGAGAATGGCTGGGGAGCAGAGGCACAGTGAGAGGCATCTGCCCAAGCCCAGACCCACCTGAACACCCACCTGCAGGAGCACAGATCTCCCACTGGGCTCCTGCCAGATCCAGGAGCCTTCATGGAGCAAAGGTGGGCAGAGATGCCTTCAGCACCCCGAGCAGGAGAAGTGAAGAACGCACTGCCTTCACCTTGGAATTTGATTCCTTGGTAAGGAAGGTGCTGAGGATGCCCTGGGGTGAGCTGTGGAGAGGACAGCAAGGGGGCAGCCAGCAGGACCACCAGCTCTCAGGATGCTGATTTTCCTGAACAATTGACTGAACCCTGTAGTGGTGTCTGCTGCTAACCCAGAGAGACCTATTGCTCTGAAGAGGAGAGGCATTTAGCTACCTGAAGACAAGAGGATGCATGGCTTGGCATGCATCTTCTCCTCAAGAAGAAAGGGAATGGCATCCATCCCAGCTCCTAGGGACAGCCCCTGGTCCATGTTTTCCACGGGAAATGTGTGGAGCTAATTGGTATGGCTGTGGAGGATACTGGTGTCACCAACTGGGGACAATCACCTCACCCAGGAACTCCTTTCTATCCTGTCCTACCTTACACAGGAAAGGCCCTTATGGTCCTGCAAACATTCCCAGGCGGGACACAGGGAAATCGTGTCCCCTGCCAGCTCTTACTCCTCTTTTCCAGCCCACACCAGCCTCATCTCTCTGCAGGAAAGCCGGGACACAGCTCCAAGCGTGCGGCCCAGCGCTCTCCAGAGATCTTTGGTTGTGTTGTTCGTGAGCTCGCCGCCTTGTGCGAGCTATAAAGTGCCACTGCAAAGGGCAGGAGGGGAGCAGGATGGTCCTTTCCATGGGCAGAGCTCAGGGGGACACCTCTGGGAACCGCTGTCTGCATGGAACCTGCATGGCTGTGACAGCAGACAGGCAGAGGGGACTTCAGCCTTAACCAGGGGGCCACTGCAAACCTGGCTCAGGGTGACAGCAAGTATCAAAGCAGGACAGAGTGACACCAGGCTGAGCTAATCTGAAGCGGATTGCTTTCCTGGAAGGTGCTGAAGCCCAGATTCCCACTACAGCCAGGCACAGGTCGGGGTGCTGAGCACCCCCTGTGCAGAGCTCGGCCCCACTTGCCAACAGAGAAGCCACAGAGCCTTCTTGTCTCCATTTAATCATCAACATACAGAGCTGGGCTCTTATTTACATCCAAGTACACTTCTCTCTGTACAACAGCGTAAGAGAAACAATTCCAATTCTGGAGCGTGGAAACCTGGAGGTGAGTGACCACCACCAGTGACAGCAGGATTTGGGCCACCAGCTGCTAGCAGACAGTGGCAGGAGCTAAGTGGGGCTGTGTGAGGCACAACAAGGTGCCCTGGTTGTGGTGTTCACCCTGGGGGTGAGAGGGGAGTGCTGGAATCAGCCCAGCTGGGTTGCTGGGACAGCCAAAGCAGCCAGCCTTGGGATGGTGGTGGAGCAAAGCAGCCCCGCTCACAGCAGAGTAGGACCTTCCCTGGCACCAGCACAGCCTGCTTAGCCCACATCCTCATGGATGGAAGCCACTGGAGCTGATCAGTGTCCTCTGTTTGCCGTGTGGATGTGCCTGGAGCATGACAGGCCTCTGGACATGGGGGTCCTGTGACACCAGAGCTGCTCCAGGACTGCCACCACTGGCATGGCTCTCCCAAAAATCTTGGATCATATTTTCCAGCTGCGTGTGTTTGGTATCCTAGGGCATCTCTAATGCTTGTGGACCCCATGTGTGGGCAACTGAGCTGAGACCCTCATGGCCACAGCTTGTGGTGGTGGCCAGTGGCAAGTTAGAGGATTTTGGGGGCAGGACTTGGAGAATGACACGAGAGCCAGGACATTGCGCTGAATTCCCCTAGCTCCGAGGTGGAGGAGACAGCTGGGGGATGGTCCAGCCCAAACTCTGGGTGGAGTTCCATGGGACAGGAACAATTCTTCAGCCCTGCCTGAGCCTCCAAGAGACACACTGCCAGCCAACTTGGCCATTCCCAGGATATGTCACCCAAACGCCAGCCTGGCACCCCTTGGCTGTCCTAACCCAGGGCTGACCCCAGAGCCTCAACAAAGCTTTTGGTGAGAGATTTCATCGACTTGTGAAAGTGTAAAGATCTGGAAGGAGCCAGGTGAGCTCCACCTGGGCACAAACAGCAGGAATCCAGGTGTCTTACCATCATTTTGCTCCATCTCTGCTGAGCAAAGGACTGGCACAGGGGAGAGGACTTGATGGGGAGCAGCACATCCAGTTGTGGGGAGGAATCCTGAAGCACAGGAATCCTTTGTGGCAGTTTGGCTCCCAAAACCATCTGTTTTTTCTGTCACCATAGCACAGGTGGAGTGGTTTCTGCAGGACAGCTGGATGCTGGGGGGATCCTGGGTGGAGAATCCCGAGAGAGGGAAAACCAGCAGCAGCAGTGCCTTAATGGGTGTCTGCAAGGCTTTGTCATCCAGGGAATGTCCACAGTCGAAGTCTCTCAGATCTGGATTGGAGCTCTGGATCAGTGTGATGCAGTGAAGAAGGCAGAGGGAGTGGACCTTTCCTCCTCCAAGGTGAACAATCTTTGCAAGAACAGACACCAAGCACCTGCTTCTGGAGGGAGGACAACGTGGGCTTGTCTGATGTGAAAAGAAAGCTGAGATGGTGCGAGACATCAGATCTCCAACCCTGACACTGTGGGATGTTGGACTCTGTCTGGAAGGCCTGGACTATGACATGGAGGAAGCTCTAGGATTTGCCTGGCCAGGTGCATGTGGATGTCTCATTGGGCATGGCAAAGGCTGCAGCTGTGTGGCACTGGCAGGCAGCTGCACTCCTTCCTTGCTGGGGTGCACGGGCTGACATCCAAGACTGCTGTAGCATCTTCAGGATTTGCAGTAGGACTCTTCCCCACACCCATCAGGAGTTAGACCTCACCTAATCCCCCTTTTATGGCTGGTCCAGGGAAAGGGGCCTAGCCTGAGCTGCCCCGATGTTTTCCATGAGTTGTCTTTCTCCAGCTCCAAACACATGGGCAGAAGTGGTGGGAAATGACAGAAACTGTCAGCTGGGGTCTTGAAATACCCTGGTCTTGCTGCACTTTTCCATTTCCAATGGCTCCAGAGATCTCTGGCAGCCACCACCAGCTCTTGGCCAGCGGCACTGTCCCATGACTTGGGCTGGTGGGACTAACTGCAGTCTCCACTGTGCTCAGTCTGAAGCTCACCACAGTAATGTTTGTTCTCAAACTGAAGGTCAGACCTGCTCATGAGCAGGAGAGCTTTGGGGAGACAGAACATGGAAAATGTGCAGCTTCAGGGCTTTTGTTTGGAAGGTCTTCAGCCCCTCAATGCCTCGAGGTTCTTCCTTGGTACTCACATGAAATGTAATCTGGCCAAACTCACCCTGGAGTCACCTCACAAGACATTTCAGAACATCCCAGTGCTAGTTCTAACTTTTCTCTTCTAGCTGCTCCCCAGGGCAAAGAGCCAAAATCCCCACTCCTCTTGATCCTTTGGCCAGTGCAAACTCCACAGCATTTTTCTTCTCTTTATTGTGACTCATGGTAAAAAAATAGTCCATGACAGGAAGAACTGAGCTCACTTTGCCCATGTTTTCAAGCGGAATGCCAGGTCTTGCTGCCTCAGTGCCCATGCCCGTAGGATTTGGTTTATTATTCTGCCAGGGCATAAGCACTTGCGTGATCTTAAGCATTTTCCCCTCTTAGGACTTCTTTCATGCTCAGAGTTAGTAGCTGAGTAGTTTCTTGAGCTAGGCCTGTGAGTTATTATCTCCATGCCTGGAGTGTGGGATGCCCCGTGGGATGGCTGTGGAATGGCAGGACTGAAGGCTGACAGTTGCAATCCAGCTGTGATGCTGCTGTGCCCCCCCTGCAACTCCTGAGTGAGGCTCGAGTGCTGTTTTTAAGCAGACCCTGGGCCAAGAGAGTGCACCAAGGTGTCACTCATTTGGGGGACAGGGTGGCACAATTGCCCACTTTTGGGGCAGACTGCTAAAGCTTCAGTTTGCATAAACATCCCATGGGTTTGGGGGCTTCCCCAAACCACAATTCCATTGACTTTGGGAAGAGGGCTGCTGGGAAAGGAAACTAGCTTGGATTTCCAAGCTTTTTTCTTGCTGTAGACAGCTTGGGTATAGAGTAAGAGTAAGGGGACCAAGGCAGAGGTGGGAGGGTATTTCTGCTCCCAGGGTTGGTCACAACCTGGGAGAGGAGTGGAACTGCAGGACGAAACCACAAGGAAGTGAAAACGCAGCATATGTTAAGCTCTGCTGAGCCTCCAGAGAGGCTCCTGCTGGGACATTGTTCCTTGTTGGCTTCTGTTACCAGGACAGGCTCATCCTGCTCCTCAAGGATGTCCTAACCTCTTGCAACCAGGGCAAGAGGGAGTCGTCTGGTAGAGATATGTCTGGTTTCACTGAAATCAGTGGCCAAGCTCGCACTGACTTCACTAAGACCACCGTCTAGACAGGATACTTGATGAAGAATACTTGAGTTTGCTCATGATCCCAAGAGCTTTGCTCCATTAGCCAATGTGGCTAAAAATGTCCTGGAAAAAAAAAAATAACCCAAAAAACAACCAACCTGCCACTTTGAACTGTTTTGCTGCACTTAAATGCTTGGAAAACCAAAGAAACCGAATATAACCCTCCAAAACAACCAACCGAAGAAAGGTGAATTGTAGGAGAGGGTGTGGCAACCTCTAGCAAAGTAACAGTCAGGGCAGATTATAAAAGAGCCAATTGACCCTCACCAGCTGTACTAGGAAAAAACCCAGACGAGATGTCGCATTATCGATAGAAAACCAACGCACATCCACACTTATTTTACCTACAGAGCACAGAAGTGGAGAGTAAGGGTGATGGAGCCTGGTGGGAGCACGCTCACACCGCTCCGACGGGAGCGCATTATCCTTCGGAAGATCACTGGCTTGAGTAGGTAGTACATGCACAGCAATAAAAAATTCCATCGTGTTGCCTCGGTCCCTCCTCAGATCTCAGTGGACTCTATTCGCTCGAGTCTGGAGGGAGTCCATGTCTTCTTCTCCTCGGTGTGTGGGGGGCTGGTGGCCTTCGTGTTCATCTCGTTGACCTTGTGCTCCAGGAGCTGGTTCTTCTGGTACATCTCCACATAGTTCAGCTGCAGCTGCTTCTGGTACTTGATGACTTTCTCCTTCTCCTCCTGCCACGTGCGCCGCTCCTCCTCGAAGTCCATCACCTGCTGCTCCCGCTGCTGCCGCTCCAGCTTCAGCTCCGTCTGGAGCCGCTCCACCTCCCTCCTCAGGGTGTTCACGCTGTCCTCGCTTTGCCTCTGCATCTTGGCCTCGTCGCTCTCGCAGGCCAGCGGGTCCCGCAGCTTCTCCCCGAGGTCCCCACCAAAAGACCCCGCAGGTCCCATGCTGGCAAGTGTCCGCTTCAGGCCGGAGACCTCCAGCTCACAGTGGTTCAGTTTTTCCCTCAGCACCTGGACCTCGCTCATCTTCCTCTGCAGCTCGCCCTCGCAGATCTCCAGGTTGACGCTCTTGGAGCTGTAGGAGTCCTTCAGGGTGAGGATCTGCTCCTCTTTCTCCCGTAGGAAGTTCTTACCTTCCTTGAGCTGCGACCGCAGTCCCACGATCTCATTGAGCTTCTGGGAGACGTCGGCTTGGGAGTCCTTCAGCTGCTGCTTGAGCAGGGAGATCTCACCTGCCTTCTGGCACACCTGTGGGGAGAGCACTCGTGAGGCTGGTGGATGGTGGATGGCAGCAAGGAGCTGCTCGTCCCCTGTGAAATGACCTTGCTCAAGGACCCAGCCTTCACCAGGACCCAGACCATGCCGCAGACCTAGAGGTTGTCCCCACCTCAGTGTTTTTTCCTGGCTCTCGGGGACCTGATGCTGTTCCTAGCTGGAGTTTCCCAGGCAGCCAAGACCAGTGCTGCAGTCCCCACCAGCAATGCTTCAATCCTGCCTTCATCTTAATCTCCCACCCAAAAACCCATGGGGATCATTCCCAAATCTTCTGCTGAATGTCTGCAAATGGCACATTTCGGAGCCTAATTAATCCCAGCTTTGTTGACTTTCCATCAGGATTAGCAGAATAAGGTCTTCTTGATTCTAGAACTATGTTTTGCCTCTGCACTCTTAATAAATTTAAAGTTTCTAGGCTGTGCATGGAAGGATTAAAATTCTTCACATGATCAAGCTGAAAAAAAAGGTATGTTAGCACTGGCTATACAAACAGACCTTGATAAAATGTTTCTAAAAATAGAAACGGTAGGAACACATTATGTAGGACTCAAGGGGAGAGCTAGAATCAGGAATTTTCCTTTCAGCCTTTTAAGAGATAAACTTATTAACGACTGAAAAATGTGTGTTACAATGAAAGCATGAGGTAGACATGGCTATCGATGTCATTCTTAGTTCAGTTGCTTTTATATCTTCAATTTAAAAAAACCTCAAATATTTGAAAAGCAGTTTCAAGGTTTGCCCAAAAGCAAATGGTAAAAGAATTTAATTAAAATAGACTTAAGCCCATTTTTGGCAGGCACAAGTACCTGTGTGGAAAAACCTGTGTTCCCTGAAACTCGATTTGAATGTCACGACTTGGAGTGACCAGACTGCAAAGTCAAATTATTAACCAGCACAGGAGGGTGTGCACAAAAAGTTGTGCTTATTTTAGCCTAATTGAAATCAACAGGCCTGGGACTCAGACAAGTGAGGTGACAAGTGTCACCTCTTACCTGGAGGTCCCCAACCCATGGCTGTTATCTGGGGGCTCCACTTGGGGCATGTGGAAGATACTTTGGGTTGCCAAATCCCGCAATAGAAACCTCATTCACGTCCTGTTACAACGCTCTTACCTCCCACTTGGTCTCTTCAATCTTCGGGAGAAACTCAGCCTGCTCCTTCTTGAAAGCCACAAATTTCTTCTCCAGCTCCTCTCGTTGCTGGAGGAGTTGTCCCATGTCATCCTGGAGTTTTTTTTTCTCCTGCTGGAGCTTGAAGATTTGGAGCTGCAGAGCTTGCTGAGCCCGCTGCGCCTTTTTGGAGACCTGCTGCAACTTGTTGGCATAGTTCTGCCTCAGGTCCTCCATCTCCCTCTCCCAGATCTTCTGCTTCTCCTCAAACACCTGGAAGATGGCCGCCTCGCTCTTGTCCAGGTTCCTCCTCATCTGGAGCACCTCCTGCTCCTTCTCCCACAGCCGGTCCTCCAGGTCCTGGATGATATCGTCGGTGGAGGGCGAGTGGAAAGGCATCGTTTCGTTGAGATGGTTCAGTCTGTTGAAGGACGAGGTGCTCTTGCTCGAGGACCGCCCGCTGTCTGAGGTAGATATCCCGTTGTATCCCACGATGTTCTTCTCCACGTAGGTGGTCCCGATGCGGTTGATGTGGCTCGTGGAGGCGCTCATGGGGCCCACGTGCTGGCTGTAGCCTGTCCCGTAGGTGGGCAGGCTTGTTAGCGAGTTACGGCCCGAATCCGAGAGCCCCCCGCCTTGGTTTGTAGTCCTGTTAAGGCTGCTCTTGTCGAGTCCACCCTTGGGTGCGGACGGGCTATTGCTGTTGGCATGGTTCAAGCTCTTTCTGTTCTCTGCCATCCCGTTGCTCTGCGGCGGGCAGAGGTTCTGCATGGAATGGAAGTTTTTAGGAACTACTGGTTTAAAGGCTGAGGGTCTAACTAAGGGCTCATTGCTCTGCAAAAAGGAAAAAGGACCACGCATCAAACACAGCAGGAGGCTTGGTGACAACACACAAAAAGAGACACATTGGCACAGGGTGGGGCTGATGCAGCTTGGGCTGGCTCCTTATCCCACCCTGTTACACCCTGGACCCTTTGGGGTTGCACGTGAGGGACCTATGGTCACTCAAAGGGCAACACTTTGCCTTCCCTTCCCCCAGCTGAAAGGAAACCATCTTAACTCACCCCAAACCCGCGTGATTTTTCCCTAGAATACTCCTTGGGTTCTCTTAGTGCTTTTCACAAGGAGGGCTGCCCCTTGCATACCAGACTTGATCAAAATAACTCTCATTTTTGCTGATTATATTTCTAGCCTTGAGGTTGCATTGCCCTTTTAAAGCTGAATTGAACCCTTAGATTAGCAGCCCTTTTGCCTCAGGAGCATCACATCTCCCTCCTGCCAGCAGTGACCTGTGCCTCTGGGGACTCCGTGTCCTGCTTGTCCAGAGACAGGAGCAGGTAGGAGCTGTGACAGCAGTGACACCAGGCAAGGAACATGCTGGAGCTGCTGCTCATTTGAAATTTGTGTTTTCTGTGGCATAAACAATGCTGGGGGACAATGGATCACAGCTGTAAGGGATTTAGAAAGGATTTTAAGGCCTTGCATATTTCTCACCCCATCAATGCACACCATTAGAAACAAAACTTTCCTCAAAACGGGATTGAGTCTCCCCTACTGCAGGTTCGATTTTAGGTGAAAATTATACTGGAGGAACAAAGGTATTTTGAAAATGCCTTTTAGGAGAAACAGAATAAGCCCTGCTGAACAGGTTGGAGGTTGGAGACCAAGTGTGAGACTGAGATGGACTGCAGGGGCTGTTGGATTAACAACCCAGGAGAAAAGGCCACCAAATGCAGCAGAAATAATACTGGACACAAATTATGGAAGTCACTGGAGCAGAGCAGCAGGCTACATAAAACACTGCTGCCTCTGGGGCTGTGTTCCTCCAGGCCTGCGAGATTTTGCTCCCTGAAGCCAGTGTGAACCATGAGGACTGGGCTGGGCTGACAGATAATGTTTACAGGGGTAGTTCCCAAGCCTTTTCCCTCACAAGGGGCACTGGGATTGTGAACAGATGCTCGTGGCTGCTTTCAAGCACCAGCTTTAGGTGGCAGTGGGTGTGCCTGTGAAAGGCACAAAGCACACAGAACAAGAGTGGGGCTCAGATGCTGGGCCTGCTGAAACAGAAGCCAACTCCAGCTCCCTCCCCATCCTTCAGGGAGGCAGGCATCTCAGGGAAGCTGGAATCGCCACTGACTTAAATACAGCCTTAAATGAGCTGTATGTGGAAGACTTGTGGTCGTGCTCTTGGGTTCCTCAAGAACTAACTACCACCCTGAAAGTCATAAGAATTATATCATCTCTACATAAAAATGTACGAAATAAAAATGAGACCATCAAGATTGCACCGTAGCCCAAGGCCTCCCGGTCTGTGCTTCCAGAGAGAAGTGCCACGGCCACCCAGCTGCTCCAGGAGGTTCTCACCTGGTCTAGTTTGCCGGAGATTGGCAAAATCTTTGGTGGGTTACTGGGCTCTCGGTACTGGGGAGGCGGCGGCAAGTTCTTCTCGTTGTTGGTGGTCACGTTGCCGCAGATGTCCATCTTCACCTTCTCGCTCTTGCGCAGGTCGCCGTTGATGTAGAGGGAGTTGGAGACTTTCTCCGACTTGTAGGTCTTCTCCTCGCCGGAGTAGCGGTTGGAGATGTCCCGCGCGGAGTAGCCATTGCGGGGCCCCTCGCTCTGCCGGCCGCTGCTCTGCGTCCGGGTGCCCACGCTCTTCATGGCGAACTCCTGGTCGTTGGCCACTCCGCTGCCCACGCTCCCCATGGCGCTCTTGGGGATGGTCTGGGAGTAGCGGGGGGTGAAGCCGTGGAAGTTCTCCGGGCTGGGGTAGGCCGGGTCACTGAGGACGGGCAGCGTCTCTAGCGTGGCCATGGCAGCGTAGGGGTGAGGTGGAGGCACAGCTCAGTGGCACTGGGACAAGGAGGGAAAAGAGATTAATGTTAAAGAGATGCCTTTTGTCCGCCGTGCCCTTTGCAGATCAAAATCATGTCCTGGTGATGGGGTTCTCCTCTGCTGTGGGAGCCCCGGGTCCCTTGGAGGAGCAACATTCCCCAAATCCCACCCACAGTTATCAAAAATCTTCTCAGTCCAAGGGTTGTGCTTCCCAGGAGAGTGAGTTGCATGGATTTTAGTAGGCACAGCTCTGTTGTGATGTGCCTCGGGGGAGGCAAAGAGTCACTTTCATATAAGCATTGTCCCACCCCAAACCCCTTGTGAAGGACGACCCAGGGGTTCTGACTGGGTTTGAATCCCTGGAGGGTTTCTCCCTTGCTGTGTTTCTAGTGGTCCCTGACCCTGAACTCCACCCTCAAGGGTGGAGACCCTCAAGAGTTCTGTCCCTCAAAAACCCCTGCTGTGCCTCTGTTCAGGGCTCTTTGTTCTGGATCTGAGTTTGTTCCCGTGCTGAATAAATGGCTTCATGAACGGGAGCCCGTCTTGTTGGTGTTCCATGCTGGTCTCCAGAACCCTGCGGCTTCCCTGGATGAGATCCTGAGGTTACAGACTGCAACACAGCTCTACGGTATCGGTGAGACAAAACCGTTTGCTGTGCCCAAGCCTGAATTATTTCTGTCACTTCTCCCAGGTTTGAACAAGCTCGTGTTCCCGTGGTGATGGAAGGTCTCCATCCCTGGTCCTGGTTCATACAAGTGCTCCCTCCAGCACATCCCTTAGGGATGACACCACAGGATTTAAGCAACACAATTTCAATCTCTTTTTTATTGGGATTGTTTCCTGAACTTGAGCTTTTAAAAAGATGCTGTTGTGCAGGTGTCATCCTAAATTTTCTTTTAAACCTTTATTCCCCTTCTCCATTTGATTCTTACTTAGGCTGTGCCTTGGGCTGGCCAAAACATGGGACATGGATAACATGCAAATAATGGTTTCAGAAGTTATCTTTCACCAGGGTTGTCCTGGAACCTTAACCTGGAACCTACTCTTGGGACTTAATTCTCACATGCCTAGATGCTCTTCATCAGCTTTTACACAAAGGTCTAAAATCCTATTTAAGAAAATAAAAGACCCATAACAACATTTTTTTTGCTGCCTCATTGCATAATGGAGAATTTGAACCTGTACAAGCCAAAGATCTCATTACCTGAAGGAAGGGAGAGGGTGCATTGCAAATTTTGAGTGACTAAACCAAACCTGGAGGAGCAGGGTCGGTGGCTCATGGACAGCTGTGGCCACTCAGCTGACCCTTGTCCATCTGGCCCTACTGAGTTCATTGACTCACAGTGGATGCTTTTCTTCTGTCTCAGGCACCCTCAATTCCAGGTTTTCCAGGATGAACCATCCTGGCAGTGTGGGGACTAAAGCAGGACTTAAGGGCAGCAGAAGGTGCAGGTTTCCCTGTGGATGGGATAAAAATAGTGATGCCCTTTAGAGAAAGGTTCAGGGATGGCAGAGGTCAAGCAGTACCAGCAGGAAGGGCAGATGGAGAAAATCCCCATTGCAGTGGGGTTTTCCCTCTCCCTGGGGTAGGGATGTTCATTCAGCCCTCCCTGAGTAAAGCAGAACTGGGTTTATTTCCCTGGAGAGCAAGCTGAGGTCTGGAGCTCAGCTCCTGTGTGGTGTCTCACAGGGCCTTGCTATTTGCACTAATAATGGAATGGAAAAAGAATTAAAAAGGTTAAAGCGGGGTCTGTGCTGCTCAACTTTGCTTTTATTAAACTGCATTTCTGGAGGCTTCTCCTCCCCCTTCCCCAGCATCCTGCCCTGTCCAAAGTACAGCCCGAGTGGCAGATGTGCCAACTGCTGGGCCAGAAGGAAAGGGCACAGAGCTGTTGGGATGGGATTTAAGGTTCCTTTCAACCCAACCCAACCCCGGATTTTATGACCACGAGCATTAAGTGAACAGTTTGTGCTCCCTGCTGAGGACAGCCTGCAGTTTGCACCTCTGTCCCCTGCAGATGATCTCATGCCATTCCCTGGTGAAAGTCTAAGGACCAGGCAGTAAAGGAGGATCACATGAGCACGTGAGACAATCCACTACAGCCAAAACACGAGTGTTTATTGGTCATAGGTGACAAAACCTCTGCCAGCAGCACGAAGTGGCAGGGTCTGCTCACGTATCCAGGATGTGACACTTGGACACGTGCTGTGAGCAGCACTCCTGACCCCAGCACACCCTGAGGACACTTCCCAAGGAGCATCACCACTGACAGTGCCCAGGGGTTAATCCAGGTGCACCTGGAGACTTTGGCTGGGCTGTGGAGTGATGAGGAAGGATGGAGAACACCCACCTGAAGCTGCACTCAGTCAACAGTGCCTTTGGATTTTATGAGTCAAGGGAAGAGTTTTTGTCCTCCTAATTTAGGAATAACCTGCTTTTCAGTGACTTTGGGAACCTCTATAGGCTGTGACTTATTTTTATGGGACACCAGGCATCACGGGAGGGATATGCTGGAAGGTCTCAGCTCCAGACAAGGAAGTGGCATTGTCTCCTTGCTGTGCTCCCCAGCCAGCAAGAAAGAAATCCAGGTTACTTTTCCCTCACTGGGTAAATTTCACGGTGACATTTGCACATTTACATTGACTCTCTGAGGGCAGGATGAGGCCACTGGGAAGTTTGATCCTTCCAAAAAAAAAAAAAAACGGCCAGCACAACAACAAGTTTCTTTTATCTGGGAAACACCCAAGAAAATATTCTGAATAAAACCTCTTGTTCTTAGCTTATGTTTACTGCAAACCCGGGATCTGATAAACAGAGCATACAGACAAGTGTTACAAATGTGTTATTAAGGAGATTCCAGAAGTGCCAAGAGATTCCCTGACAGTACAGCTTTGTTTGCCAAAATGGGACATTTTTTTCTGAGAGCAACAACCCTTGTGTTTCTATCTTCTGGCCAGCTCCAGTTCCCCATCAGGTTTCACACTGGTTGCTCCTCAGCTGAGCTGTGAAATCAAATTTGGAGCACAGGAATAGCGTTGCCATGCTCCGGCACAGAGCAGGAGAGTGGTTTTTTCTCCTTCCAGGTTTGGGGGAATGTGGGACTAAAAACTTCCCAAGATATTTCTTCTGCTTAAATCTCGCCACCTCTGGGGCAAGAGGACGAGAGGGAATGGCTTCAAACTGACAGGGTGGGATTAGATGGGATATTGGGAGGAAATTCTTGACTGAGGATGGGGAGGCCCTGGCACAGGGTGCCCAGAGAAGCTGTGGCTGCCCCTGGATCCCTGGAAGTGTCCAAGGCCAGGCTGGATGGGGCTTGGAGCACCCTGGGATAGTGGAAGTGTCCCTGCCCATGGCAGGGGGTGGAACTGGGTCAGCTTTAAGGTCCCTTCCCACCCAGACCATCCCATGGTTCCATGAAAACTGCCTCCCTCCCATGGGAACATGAACTGCAAGTGGGTGATTCCCGGGAGCCTGTCCATGAGCACAGGGAGGCTGAGGGAAGCCAAGGGGTTTCCCTTTCCCAGCTTTTCCTTCCCAAGCTGCTCCTTTAGAAGGAAAGAAGAGTCTCCCTTGAGCTGGGCGACCTTCTCTGACCAGGGACACTGGGAATCCGCACACTCCACCTTGTACCACCTCCCCATCCCATCCAGCTGCTGCAGCCTCACCCGGGGACAGCAATATTTTGACGCCTGACACAGAAAATCTGGGATGAAATGTCCTTTTCCCCAGCTGTGACGGGGAAACTCTGCATGTCCACCTCTTACCAAAGTTTCCTGCCATGCCTGCAGCTCCAGGACACTCCTAGATGTTATTGTAAATACAGTAATTCGTAAAATAACAACCGAGTCTTCACACTTGCTCTACCCAGACCATTCAGCGAACGCCTTCCAGTAAAAAGAAGAAAAATTGCTCTGAGACAAGCAGCTGAATGGTTAACTAAGACTAAATTATGGAGGCCTGGCTCTGTTTCTGCCCGAGGAGGTTAATTGTTAACACTCTCCTAACAAAGAGACAGACATACCTCGGGCACCGTGCCACGGGAGAAGGGAATCAGTCATCGTTGGGCACGGAGAGCCCCAGAGCAAGGCAGGGCCTTGGCACCCGCGCCATCCCAGGCATGTGGAGCTGGCAGGACGGGCAGCAAAGGCATCTGAAGGTCAAAAAATTCCCTCCCCTTGCCAATTGTGGTAACAGGTGTGCCCCTGACCTTCATCAGTCAGGTTTGTTTGCGTGGGCCTTAACGAGCGAGCAATTTCTGACACGGTAAAGCCGTGCTCTGTGCTGCTGTTTGTGTAGGGGCAGGGCCTTCACCTGCCCTGTGTTTACGGCTCAGGTTGGCTCTGCCAGTTTGCAGCGCTGCCAAGGGGTTGGTTTGGCTGGGGGAGGAAAAGTCAACATGTCCTGGGGTGGTGGAACCACCAGGGGTTAGACCCAGGTTAGAAATGGTGGGAAAGGGTAGGAAAAGAATGGCTGTGATAATTCCAGCTTTGTCCAGGAAGGTGAAGTGGGAAGGGAAGGACAGGAATGGGTTAGCAGGGAAGACACAGACCCTGGAGGGAGCAAAACCACCTGTGTCCAGAGAGGCACTAACAAGCCCTGGGGAAAAAACACCACTGAAACCCAGATTTGCAATTGCACTTGTAGAATCGTAGAATCACAGAATTATTCAGGTTGGAAAAGCCCTCTAAGACCATGGGGTCAAACCAATCCCCCAGCACTGCCAAGGCCACCACTGACCATGTCCCCAAGTGTCACATCCACACGGCTTTTAAATCCCTGCAGGGATGGGGACTCCAGCACTGCCCTGGGCAGCTGTGCCAGGGCTGGACACCCTTTCCATGAAGAAGTTTTCCATGAAGAAATTTGCCCTAATGTCCAGTCTAAACCTCTTATTTTTAGAGGCTGTTCCCTCTTGTCCTCTTAGTGTCAGGTGCAGGTTCCAGTCACATCCCGCTTCCTCTCCCCCACCTTTTCTTGTACATCACATCCTCAAGAAAAGCCACTCAGCCACTGC